CACGCACGCACGCACACACACGCACACACACACACATACACACACACACGCACACCATGCGAGGCTGCTCCTCGGCGTGCCTCATCTGGGCCTCTCTCTCGGACAGCAGGCGCGTCCCTGGCCCCGCAGCCCGCTGGCTCGCGCGCAACCGCGCCTGGGCGGCCTGGCTGTGGGCGCCCGTCGGCGCCGCCGCGGTCGCGGCCAACGTGCTGTACCCGGCCGCGCGGGGCGGCGTCAACGAGACCATCTACCTGGCCACCACCTCGCTGGCTATCGCCACCCTCTTTTTGAACGAGGTCCTGCGCGCCCCGCGCGGCAGCAAGGAGGCGCGCCACGTGCGGGCCGCCGGGTGCATCGCGGCCGCCACGGCGGCGCTGGGGGTGCCGGCGGATCACGCGCTGCGGGCGGCGACGGGCGGCTGGTTCAGCGCGCAGCACGCAACCTTTCTGGGGTGCGACCTGGCGTTCGCGGCGGTCCGGGCTTACCTGTTTGCCAAGCGGGCGCGCCTGGCCAAGGCCGTGTGACGAGGCAGTGGGAACAGGCGTACGGCGCATATATGCGCTCGCGCGCCGATACCTTTGAAGCGCCTGCCCGCCCCCTGCAATTCGCCTTGTTGTGAGCAGGCCTTTGTTTGCTTCAACAGAATTTGCGCATGTGCGCGTCCGATTATTTTCAGGGCATATTAACACATTATTGTGTCCCGTGTGTACGTTTGCGTTGATGAGCATGCCCACACTGCGAGCGCTTCCACCGCGTCCCGGTCCTAGCACCATCAACTGACCAATACAACTTACCCTGGTCTTTGACATCAAAAGGAGGCAGACAATATTTTTACGAGCGCATTTATGTCGCTTGCATTCCACAATATTTTTCCTAGGCACAGGATTTCATAGACACAGGCACCATAATATTTTGCTGATTCAACAGCCCCAACATATCGAATTGGTCCTTTGCTTGTGCCCCAATTCCACCCTTCCCTGTTTGCGGCAACAGTCTGCCCTTGCCGCTGATTGCAATTTTTACCCTTTTTCAGGCGGCAGGCCGCCAGCCTTGTGTTTGATTGCAACACTGGCTGTGTATCGTTTTGTTTCTTGCCGCCTCTCCGCCAGCAAGAAGCCGTGAGAGCCCTTCTCCGCCGCTGCGACAGCAATGCAGCTGCTTGCTGGGCTGCTCAGCAGGCTACACCGCCGAAGCAGCCTGCTTGAATGCACCCAGGTTACGTAACTGGCTTCTGCTTGGATGCTACAACAACAACTCATAAAGGCCAACGCACTGCTGCACGCAGATGCCAGGCAGCTGCCGCATTCCCTGGCATCTCGGCGGGGCTGGTGCGCAAGTGGTGTGAAGGCCAACACGTGAGGGCCATGCATGTTACTGCGCGGCGCTGTCGTCGTCGCCACCCTTCCGGTGCGCCCCAAGCCGGGCCTGCAGAGATTTGCTGGGCTGCACGCGGCTGAACTTGGGGCGCCCGTAATTGTGCCTGTACGTCTCGCCATAGTGACCGAAGCCTGCAAGGACGTCAGCAAACATGACGTCGGTGGCCGCATCGCAATCTGCGCGAGCTGGCCCAACCGGCGCACGCGGCCACTTGGCCAGAGCGAGCCCGCCGCTGCCAGCGAGCCCGCCGACAGCGACACCCTCCACCAGCGCACTGCCGTCGAGGGATGTTCCTGGCTGCTGTTGCTGGTGTTGCTGCTCCTTGTGCAGCAGCTGCTGCTGCTGCTGCTGCTGCTGCTGCTGCTGCTGCTGCTGCTGCTGCTCCTGCTGCTGCTGCTGCTGCTGCTCCTGCTGCTGCTGCTGCTGTGGATGACCGTGGCGGTGCTGGTGGTGCGGCTGCTTGACAAGCCCGGGCGCCAACCCCGCAAGCCAAAGCCCGCCACGCAGCGAACCGTAGCTGCCCGCGGCCCCATGGCTGCTGCCGAGCGCGTCAACGCGCTGCCGGCGCAGTCGCGCTGTAGCCTCCGCCAGCCCCCGCTGCATCAGCGGGCACATGACGCCATGCCCAATGCGGCGCGGCGTTTCGTCCGACCGAGCTGCGGCGGACTGGAGGCACGCGTCACTGCAGTAGCTGGCGACGCTGCAGCCTGGGCACAGGGTGAATGGGCGGCCGGGCAGGGGTGACTGCCCGCACTGGTCGCAGCCGCGCACGGGCCTGGCGCCGGCCTCCAGGCGCTGTGCCCAGAACTGAGGGGGCATGCAGTTCCAGAAGTACCAGCCCTGGCGCTGCAGCTGCTGGAAGTCGCGCGGCAGGAAGGCCTGGCGCACCGCAAACTCCGCTGCAGCCAGCCTGGGGCGAGGCGGACCGCACGCAAGAGGCGCAAGAAGGTAAAGTTGAAGTATGAAGCACGGCGGCGCTGCAACCTGGGAATGGAGGGGGCCAAGCTCACCGCCTCGGCACCTCATGGCAGGCACGCAGTGCCTATGTCCAGCCTGCCATTATGTGTGTGTGCTGCCAGAGTGCTGCCCAGGAAACCCGCGTTTACAAGCTTTCCTGCGCACGCAACGACCCACAGACCCACCTGGCATCGGGGTCGCTGTACACTGCGCGCAGCAGCTCAGCCATGCGGCCCGCACGCGCGTCCTCCTCGCCCCTCGGTTCTGAGCAGCGCACCGCGGCCGCCTGCGCCGCGGACGCAGACGTTGGTGCCGTTGCCCCAGCTGACCCCGCGCTGCCGCCGCCGCCCTCGTCGCGGCCGCCCTCGTCCCCCAGCACGCCCAGCATGTGCAGGTGGAACCACACGGGCCACGTGGGCATGCCGCCCTCCCCCTCGTCGCCGTCGCCCTTGAACCAGCAGTCGCCGCTGTAGGTGCTGGGCGGCGGCCGGTGCGCCCACCCGCCAGGCCCCAGGCTCTGCAGCAGCGCCGCGGACACCGCCTGCTGCGCCATTGCGGGCCAGAGGGGCACGGCGTCGGCGGGCGGGTCGAGGGACTCGGCCAGCGGCCCCAGCGCCTCGAGCACGCGCGCGGCGCGCACCACCATGGCGGGAGAGTACGCCTGCCAAAGGGGTGTGATTGAGGGGGGGTGCGGGTGGGCGGCGGGCGGTAGGGGTAAATCAGGGCAGCAAGCTGGGAGAAGGCGGGCAGGCGCTTTGCCGCCAGGCCCGGCGTGTCTGCCCTGATGCCTGAGTTTTCTGTGCAGATCCACATGACCACAGTGCGCCTCAAGCAGCAGGAATTCCAACGCGCTTCTGCCCGGCACCCCTCACCTGCTCAAACGCTGCGTTGAGCCCGCGCGCATATGCGGCCGCCTCGCGCCGGACCGGGTCGTCTGCTGCCAGCTGCAGCTGCAGCCCCGCCAGTGCGGCCACCCGCGGGTCTCGCACCAAAAACACCGACTTGCGCACCGCGTGGAAGGCCGAGTGCCACAGCTCCCTGTCGCAGCTGTGGGGGCACATGCCCGCCTGCGACACGAGCGCGTCGCGCGCGCGCGGCGCGAGGCGGCCCAGGAGGCCCCACCACAGGCGGCGCCACATGAAGGGGGAGGAAGGCTCCACCGGCCAGTCGCCGTACGCGCTGGCGAACCTGGACGCGCCGCCGCCGCTGCCGCCGCCGCTGCCGTCGCCGCTGCCGCCGCCGCCTCCGCCGTCGCCGCCGCCGCCGTCGCCGTCGCCACCGGTGCCAGCGGCCGGCTGCTTCGTCTCCTGCCTCTCTGCCCACTCGCGCTCCCTGCGCGCGTCGTCCTCGCACCAGGGGCAGCCCGCCGCGCACCCCGCCACACCGGCGTCGAACTGGCTCCCGCCCACCACGTCTGCAGCCGGCGCCGCCGCCCCGGGCGCCGCTCCCACCACCACAGCCGCGACCGCTGCATTGGCCGCGGCCATGGGCGGCCCCAGCCCCTCGGCGGCGGGTCCCAGGTCACCCCGCATCACACCAGCGGCCAGTTCCTTGACAAAACCGGCCAGCGAGAGGTGCGTATCGCCTGGCCCCGGCTCCGCCGCGCGCGCCGCCCGCTCCCGGTCGTGGGCCAGGGAGCAGTGCACCGCCTGCGCACACCCCATCGCGTGCCGCCACCGGTGCAGGCCGCGGCACGCGAGGCCCAGGTGGCGGTCAAGCTCGTCCGCAGGGCAGGGCAGGCCGCCGCCAGCCGTCGGGTCGTGCCGCGATGCGGCCGCGTTCCGCCAGCCCAACCGCCGCGCGGCCACCTGCCGTGCCGGCTCCAGGGTCCTGATGCCAAGCAGCACGTCCGGGCTGTGCTCGGCGGCGTTCTCAAAAGGGGGCCCCTCAACGCTGGCGCCACCATCGCGTGGAGCGTCGCCGCCCGCCCCGGTCGGTGCGCTCGAACCCAGGGCACGGGCGGCGTGCCAGCGGAACACGCGGTGCTGAAATTCGTGCAGCTGCTGCTCGTGCCCGAGAGACACGGACACCCGCAGACGGCCGGGACACGGGTCCGCGCCAGTGCCAGCCGGCACACTCCCCAGCGCGTGCAGCGCCAGCGCGACGGCGGCGAGCGCTGGGGGAGGCTGCGGCGCCGGGGCGCCCCGGCCGGGCGTGCTGCTGTGGGCGCCGTCGGCGGCGAGGGCGGCGGCGGCGGCGTTGACAGTGTGGAAGCGCCGTAGCATGGAGTACAGGCGGCGGACCTTTGGTAATAAGTGAGGCAACAGGGGAAGCCAAAAACCAGCTGTGTGCGTGCGTGCATGCTTATGTGCATGCGTGCGCGCGTGCATGCGTACGTGCGTGTCTGT